CGAATTGAATCAAATATAAATTTGTATTTGTATTTGATTTGATTTTCAAATCAAATATTCAAATATTAAATCGAATTACAGAACCCTAAATATCACTATAATCATTGGATGAATGAAGAAATTAAAGACTATACATCATCTGATAAAATCAAGAGATCATCTTATTCACTTATGGCAAATTGGGTAAAGGAAAGTTGGGATGCTGTACAGTGCACAAAAAAATTTTGAAAAAATTCTAAAAATTTTCTGAAAAGACTCAAAAATTCCGGAAATTTATTTTTTATATCAGAACATATGACTAACATTAATAAACTTTATCAGAACCAATAAAATTTTGCCAAATTTTTTTGAATTTAATCGACATAGATCTATCAATAATCAATATTAATCAATTTTTTCATTATATCTTTATTACAATATGGGTTTAAACGTCAGAGAATTAGTGATAGTTTGTCTCAAGAAAATAAGCAAAATTCTAAAAATCCTCAAGAAAATTTGAAAAATTCCAATATAGATAAAACATTTAAAATCAAATGGTTATCAGAATTTTCTTGGTTACGTTATGATGATAAAAAAATGTTTTGTACAATTTGTGTTAAACATAAGATAAAAAATAAGTTTGCTACAGAAGGTGCAACAAATATCTCAAAAAAATCAGCATGTAAAATGTAAAGATCATATTGAAGCAGAAAAATTAGAAACAGCACATATTCAAATGGAATCTTTGCAAAATCAAATTTTTTCTTCTGATGCAAATGCTAGGCATATTATTATTATAATGCGGGTTGTATATTTTTTGTCAAAAAAAGATTTGCCTCTTCGGCTTTTACCTTCCATCATTAAAATAATGAAAGAATCAGAAACACCACATATATCTGATGGTTCAATTACATATACAAACAAGATTTCAGAACATGAATTTTTAATGGTTATAACTAAAACTATTGAAGATAAAATCTGGAGTGAATTGTCTGATGCTGTAGCATTTGGAATAATGATTGATGAAAGTACAGATATTATAACAACCAAACATTTAGATGTATATGCTTTATATATAGCTAAAAATAGAACATTCAAAACACATTTTTTATGTCTTTTGCCTTTAACTGATTGCGATGCAGAAAGTATTATACAGGTTTTAATTAATATTTTCGAAAAAAGGGAATTTTATCTAAACTTGTAGCATTTGCCTCAGATGGTGCTTCAGTTATGTTAGGAAAAGATGAAGGTGTTGCAGTGAAGCTTTCAAGAGTATGTACTTATCCTTTAATTGTTAATCATTATGTGGCTTATAGGTTGGCTTTGGCATGTAAAGATGTGAGAAAAGAAATTGAAATTTATAAAGAAGCTGAATTATTAGTTAAAAAAATTTATGGTTCCTTTAAAAATTCATGTTCACATATCCAACAATTAAAAGAAATTCAAAATCTTTTAGATTGTTCTATTTTAAAAATAAAGAGATTATATGAGATACGTTAGCTTGCATGGTATGACACTATTAAAAATATTTGTAATTCAATTTCTGCATTATTTAGAGTTTTTAAAGAAGCAAAGAAGGATAAAGGACGAGAATTATATGTTAAATTAACATCTTGGAGAATGTTGGCATTTTTATATTTTTTTATGATATTTTAGAACATGTAATACGATTGAGTAAATTTTTACAGAAAAGAAATTTACAACTTTCAGATATAGATCTAATGATACAATCTACAATTAATTCTATTCAAAAAGAATACTTAATAAATAATCAATCACAAAAATTTGGATATAATCTTCAAAAATTTATCAATGAAACTAATCCATTTGGAAATAATTCAATAGAATATATGGGTCATGAACTTTCTTTTACTGAGCAAAATTATGATGAATTATTGATAGATATATATATCTATTTAACAAGTATTATTTCTGAATTGAAACAATGATTTCCTAATAGATTATTATTTTCTTCTATGAAAATATTAAATCCACGAGAATGGCTGAGAGACTCTAAAGATTTACTATGTTTTAGTGATAATGAATTGGAAGATTTATTAAAATATTATGAGTATCTAAATATTCATAATAATATTCAATCAACAGCACTCTTTGATATAAATAAATGCAGGCAAGAATGAGCAGGATTTAAAATAATTGTTATTAATAATTTTTTTTCTAAAGATATAGATATAATTCTTCCCTTACTAATTCAAGATTATAGTGATATTTCCCAAATATTATCAAATTAATTCAATTGATCTATTGTATTTCCTTTTCAAGTGTAGAGTATAAGCGTGGTTTTAGTAGACAGAATCAAATTAAAACTAAAAATAGGAATTCATTAGCTACAGCTATATTAGATATGTTAATACGTGTTTCTTTAGAAGGATCGGAAAGTTCAAAATTTGATTATGATCATGCATATATTATTTGGAAAAGTCAGAAGAGGCGTACCGGTATTAACAAATAATAATGTTTGTATGATTAAAATGATTAAAATGATTATGAAATAAAGAAATATTGAATATTAAATTATTGACATTTTATTATTTAAAAAAATATAAATAAAATTTCCAGCATTTATAAAATTTATCGGAAATCTGCTGTATAACGTCTAAAAAAATTCTGGATTTAAAAAATTTTGCCAGATTTATCAAAAATTTTTCGGAAAATTCGGTAAAATTTGAATAGATTTTGTACGCTGATGCTGTAGATACTAATATGATAACACGTTTATTCAAATGCTGTGGAGTTTCGAATGCAATTAATGGAAAAGAAGATAGTTTAATTTTTAATTTTAATAAAGTAGAAAATATTAATAATCTAAAAGAGAAGTTGAAAAAGATAGAAATAATAATGAAAGCGAATCATCAGATGATAGTAATAATGAAAGTAAATTGGAAGATAGTGATAGTAAAAGTGATAATAATTATTATAAAAAAATGAAGAGCTTAACATACTTCATAATTGGATTTGTAAGAATTAATACAATATTCAATAAATAGTTTGAATGATTACAATTACTGAATAAATAAATAAATAAATAATTTGTATCAAAATTAAAGTTTGTTTCATATACATTTACGATAAAAACTACATTTTGCAAATTAGTCACGAGAGATACAATCTGAGCTGGATATATCTATCGAAAAAGTGATAGATGATCATGAAAACCTTTTTGATCTTTTTATTCCTGAACTTAGCTAGAAACTTTATGTAATTTTATTTTTTAGAATGCCAAACTGAAGGTTTGGAACCTTAAAATCTTGGTTCACAAGTAAGTCATTTGTTAGTTAATTTTAGTAGGACAGTCTGAAACATTGAAACTAATCAAAGGTATAAATTCATTAATTATTATATTTATTATTATTTTTTAAAAAATTTACTGATCCAGCTAATTTGAAATTTCGGTGTTTAGCCTTTATCACCTATGTTATAGTAAGGTAGAAACACTTGAAATCTCATTTATTACAGCTATTTACTCATCTAGCTTGTTTGCTAATCTAACTTGCCATACATACTCTACGTTGTAATAGTGTAAAATTTTGGCTAAAATTTGCTTACAAATCTAATGTTAATTAAATATCCTTATTTATCATCTCATTGATTCTGATATCAACTTTATATCCTGAGATAATCAATGTAAAACATTGTAGATCCAGATGTCAATTTTATTTCCAGTGTAATAGGTAACTTTATTGACATAATCATCTTTGCTGATCAATTTTGTTAATTTTATTTCCTTGATGATGTCATTTATATTTCATAAATATATTTAGTTTAGTTTATTTTATAATTATCAAACATGTATAAATACCTTTGTATTATTATTGAGAAATGATATTAATGAATAAATCCATCAATTAATACATACCTTAAGAAGGAGTAATGATAATATTTCACTAGATGAGATTATTACCTTATGATCTTACAAGGTAAAGAACTTACAATTTGTTATATAATTAATAAAGAGTATAATTAACCAAGTTAAAACTTATCCTTCGCAACCCTTTAATTTGTATATATATTATTATTATTTATTAACTTTGCATGATATTATATTGATTCATTATATTGACTTAAGATGTAATCACTGAAACATAATCTCTGAAATATTCAGAAGTTACTTGTGTGTAATTGAGAATAATCTTTGATGTTTATTATGAATCTTTGTTGTGATTCCCTGAGTTTAGTCTTAGCATTATTAATTTTTGTGAATTTTATTTGAGTTATAAATCAGACGTAACAACATACATCCACAGCTCAAAATATTATGCTAGACTTAATTGGCATATATTATAATATCAAAAAGATAATTTTTTTTATTTCTTTCAACCACTCATGTTATTCCTTAGATTGTAGGGTTTCGCAGGCAAATTTTCCTGCTTATTTACTATAAATTTTCTTCTGATTTACTTTTATAAATAATTAATATTTTTAAAATTTTTTTTTTAAATTAATTATATAAATATGTAATATATTATAATAAGTTTTATCTTT